TTTTCAGTGAATGGGAAGCAATAGCACTTGTGAAGTCAAGCTTTTCTCCACCACCTTCAGCGCAACAGTGCAGAGTGTGTTTAAGTAGAGAGGGGACAGAGAGGAACTTTGCATGAAACCATCCCTCAGGGGGTCAGATACTTTTATACTGAGGAGCTGTCTCCCAGAACTTTTCTGATTTCTGAACTTGATGACAAATGTAGAGTTTTCTCTCCCTTCATCTCCACCTCATGAGCAAGATTACAGAGCTCAGAACGTAAATGTTTTGTTTTTTTTTTCCCAGCAAAGTAGTTTTACTGCATTAGAAACCACCAGTAAATGTGTAAGCTCTTTCTGGAATCACCTGTGAACTGTTTAATCCTGTGCAAGCGAAGCAGTGAATCGGGGAGAGGGAAAGAGTGATTAGGAATGAAGAAGCCGGTGGAAAAATGCCAGGAATTTGAAAATAAAGGAAGTTTTTATTCCTCTGTTTGTTTGAACTAGGATTAATGAAACCTTCTTAGAGCCTACACAGTCCAGAGTTTGGTTAAAGCTACATTTTGCATTGCGGTTCATGGTGGGGTAGGATTAGAGTTAAGGATATTATGAAAATGTATCCACCTGTTACTCTTTTCATCTTTTGTTGTTAAACTGGTAGAAGAGATTTAAACAGGCTGACTGCTGATGAATTGTACTGTGAGTTTGTACATGATTAGCACACTTGCTTCTGGTGTGTTAATAATGTGAAAGCAAAAAGATAATCAGAATCTGTAGCGATGTTAGTATTTGCAATATCTTTGTGCATCTTCGCGTTGTGTTTATAAGAAATTTAAATGCGATTTATAATGGAAGTAAAGGGAAGTTATTATCATTCATTGAGAATTAAATGGAAGTGAAGAAAACATTATTATTAAAAATAGTATTACAATGCGCACTTATATTTGACATGAGACACATCATTGAAGTTTATGAAAATAAGGAATGAAGTATTTTATACATCAACATTCAACCAAAAAAACATTTGATAGAAGGTGCATTTCTATACCACTAACAATCGTCCCATTACAAGGAAATAATTAATATGATTAATATTTAAATATATTTACAAATAACTAAAAATAGTTTTCAATAATAATACTTGATTATTTAATTAAAGGTATCCCTTAAACGAAAGTAAAACTGCTTTTTTAATTAAGTGTTTGTGAGATGGAGACAGGGTTTATAATTTAATCATATCAGTCTAAAAGCATTAAATAGAATGCTGTGTGTGAATTTCCTGAACTGTCCGCTTTCCTTTGATGACGGTAGAATCAGTCACCTAACAGGGAGATATCATTTGCTGTGGTAAACAGTGTACTCTGCTGGTCACTAATGGTACTGCACCGAGCAGAAAAGTAAGGTAGGAATTAGTCTGGTTACTCTCACTCGGAGTGAGACAAGAACACACAGGAAACAAAAAAAATAAATAAATAAGAAGAAACTGACCGTTGCAGAAAACTCACATGGCAATACAAGCGATATTATGACAGAAGGTAAAGCGAGCTGCTGCATCTTCACGGTCGACAGGAGACCGCAGATTCAGAGTGTGAGGATATTGGTAAAGTATGATCCTTACCGGTTGCCGTACTGCACAGATGACGCATTATATGAATATGTAAATAGGCATATATATATAGAGCAGTACCTTGAGGAGCGTTGATCAGGCAGTTATAGAGGTAGTGTAGTAGGAGTTATATAGTACTGTGTTAATAAAGTGTTCGTTCATCATTAAGAAGTTGTGTGAAAAATGACCGCCGATAAGTATACAAATAGAGAACATAACACGGAGAACACGTTGCCTAGGTTGCGCTTCATGTAATAATTAAAATAATAATTATTAATTATAATAATTGCTTACACTTATTTAGCGCTTTTCTAGACCCTCCACTCAAAGCACTTTACAGGTAAGGGGGACACCCCTCCACCTGGATGTATGTAGGGGGATGAGAGAGCGAGTTAGCATAAGGCCTTGAAGGGGAAACGCCTTCGTGGCATCGAGAAATAAAAAGGGAACTATTCGCTAAAAACATGCGTGTTTAGCGTCATTAGGAAAGCTTCCATAACTTTTTAAAACATTTACTGTTACAGCGATCACTTGCTAGGCGTTTCGCGAGATAAAATCCACGTTTAGAGAACAGTTTCTAGCTTTCTCTTTTATTTCCATTTTGTTTTGTAACTATCATTCCTTTTCCTGTCACAAAAACGATATACAGTATATTATTTCAAGTAGGTAGCTGTGTCAGCATGCGTAGGCTTCAAAGGAACAGGAAACGGGTTTATTACAGGCTGAAAAGAGTAGAAAGGAAACAAAGTTTCGGCATGGAGCCTTCTTCAGGTGTGAGCCACAATCATTTGTATTATTTGCATTTATACACCTGGATATATTCTGAAGCGATTTGACTATTTGATATAAGTTGCATAGAAGAGAAAAAAACATACGTGAACAATATGTTTTGCTCCATTAGTTGATACTTTGCAAAGCCAATACTTTGGATAATTGCATGCAAAGAGCGATCCAGTTGAGATAGGCACAAGTTGTATTTAACGAAGCTAGATATACATTTTTTTCCAAAGCAGCCTTTATTTCAAAAGACATTTTACTTATGCCCTAAACATCTTTTTCAGAGAGATTTAGGTTGGTTTATTATGACATCTTCCCATGCCGTTGAAATTTCTCTCAGCTGTACTTGCAGCTGGCGGAGAGTTGTGTTGAAGGGCGGAGGGGCGTCAGCAGAGTGGCGCAGCGGAAGCGTGCTGGGCCCATAACCCAGAGGTCGATGGATCGAAACCGTCCTCTGCTATCCGTATTTTACTCACGACTATTGAGCACGCCGTCCTCTCTGTCAGGTGGAAAAACAGCCAATAAGGAGTTCATATTGTTCACGCATACGGCCGACAGGCACTGTGTAAGAGCCGGCGTACCAGAGCAGGTGACGTCACCGCCCTTCCCTGTGATAGCAGGACTACAGCTACTGGGCTGTAGAGAAATATCTCTAGCTCACGGGGCTGGGTCACTGCAGAGAGACGCGGGAGTCCCGGGTTCGAGCCCCCGACGGTGGGGGACCGACCTAATGTGGTAAGGGTGCCCGCCCGTTGCGTTACTATATTTTCATTGGAGGTCCGGGTAACTTTCTTGCTTCCGTCTGTGAGCTAGCATCACACTTAACTGCTCTTTATTCTTAAACAATATGTGTGTTTCCTGCTGTGGTGTGATCTTCAGACACACATGTACATAGTTCCTGCATGAAGAACACGGGACGCTTCTTCAGTGAACAGTAACCTTCTGATAGAGTTCGCGAAATTGCAGTAGCAAGCCTGAAATCCATGAAATGAAGATGCAACAGTCAAAGTCTATATTGACACCTGACACCTGAAGAAGGCTCCACGGCCGAAACGTTGTGTTCTCCTTTTCAGCAGGGAATAAACCTTTACTTGTTCCTTTGCAGCCTTTGCAGCCTACAGTACGCATGCTGACGCAGCTCCCCACCTGAACTACTAAAGTCTATATTTGCCAGTGTACAGTGTTTCGGAATTACTCATAATAACAATAATAATTTAGAAATGTAGTGACAATATCGAATTTTAGGAGTTTCAAAGGAGGGATCAGCTGATGGGCTGGCTCTATTGCGTTTTCTCCTGCCTAATCGTTTTTTTTCTTTCAAATCAGCAACGCTAAGCGTTGTGCTTCAGAATGTTGCTTGATATTTTCATTTTTCTCGCACATGAGGTGTGCTAGTGTTCGTTTAATCTTTCAGTTGCATTGCTATTGCCTCTCAGAAAACCTGTATTGTACCAAATGCTTTCTGCGCCAGGAAGGTAAAGGCTTCATGACAATGTGTACTTTTACTAGTTACAACACAGCACACTAAATTGTACAAAAGTGTGTTAAAAGGCTTAGTGTTACTGCGAGCAACGGAGCCCAGCTTGTCGGACCATTTTCTCTGAAGCGGTGCCATGAAATGACAGGGTGACGTGCTCTGGAAAATGCCATTGTGTGTGCCTATCGTGAAGCGATGAAATCCTTTCGCACATAGTCCTATTCCGGGGAGTGTTTCTGAGCGCTCTTTTCTTAAACGAAGTCGAACACAGTCGAAAGCCGACGCAAGTGTAACTGTGTAGCTCTGAGGCCAGCCGTCTCTGGTCTAAAGGTAGCAGACGGGCGACCAGAGGACCCGTGTGGTTTCGGTGACACAGGTTGAACTCGCCAGAGGGACGCTGCGTAAACTTTGGCCTCGCCCTCCCTGGTGGTCTAGTGGTTGGTATTCGGCACTCTCACCGCTCTGCCCCGGGTTTGGTTCCCGGTCAGGGAATAGTGTCTCCTCTTGAGCTTTTCTGCTATACGACCAAGTAGCGGCTTATTTTCTTATGCGGCAAGTAAAACACAAAACAAATCCTTCCACCACAAACGTTGAAGCTGGCATGACCAGGACCGAAGAGGTCGGTAATTTCCTTTCTGGATTCAGCTATTTGGGATCCTGCTGTCTTTTTCCGACATTATCTGATCTTCAGACAATTATGTGCATAGTTCCTGCATGAACCAGAAAATAAATGCGTGTATACAGAGAGTGAGAAACATACGCGCACAGCGTTTTGTTTTTAAAAAAATATTTTCACCTTTCGCGCAAAGGTATACTACAGTCGTCAGCAAGGAAAGTCAGGCAGCCGTAATGGGATGAAGTGTCTCGCTCTTACTTATTGGAAGATTCCCTTTTGACCACAGTTCCTTAAAAGTTGATGTATTGCAACGCCTGATGTCCTGATCCTGACTGCAGATGTTCTCTGCAGCCTCATGTTTCGTATTTTGTTTTCAAGCCTCAGTGATTCTTTAGTTTTGTACTTTTTAAGTGAACATACATAAAGCAACAGCAATAATAGTCACAGGGGTTGATGGAAAGATAGTCTTTGTTCTCAGATGATTCCTATGAGTGTGTTCCTTTGTATAGTTGTTGTACATGTGAGGAATACATTTTTCCCAGTCTGTCTTAAGCTCCTTTTCACCATTTATTAATTCAAGTTCTGCACCAGCCCCCAGAGGAAACAGTATTTGTATTACGTCTGTGGCAGTATGAATCACTGTGACTATACGAGCACAGTAATACACAGCAGTGTCTTCAGCCTTCAGACTGCTGCTTTGTAAGTATGTTGTCTCACTGGAAACATCTTCAGAGATGGTGAATCTTCCTTGAAAAGATGGGGCATAGTTTGAGCCAGTGTCTCCAATCCACTCCAGCCCTTTCCCAGGAGCCTGACGAATCCAGGCCATATAATTACTGCTCAGGGAAAACCCAGAGACTGTACAGGACAGCTTCACAGACTCTCCTGGCTTCTTCACTTCTGGACCTGACTGGTTTAGCTGGATGTCACCACTCACAACTGCAATAGATAGTGAGAGACAAGCATAGTTATTTACGTAAAATATGAACACTGTAATAATAATAATAATAATAATAAGAAGAAGAAGAAGAAGAAGAAGAAGAATGGTAATAATAGTAATAATAATAATGATCATACTTACAATTGGCATATCCGAGCAAGAATACAAGGTTTAAGTGCATGAACATTGTTGTATCTCTAACAGCATGAAGAGCCAGAATGCTGATTCTCCTCCAGTGCACTTCAGCTGAGAGGACAGTCCTGAGCTCTTATATAGAGGAGACAGTGGGCTGAGCTTCACACAGACAGAACCCAGAGGCTTCATATAGAGGCAAGATGTCAGAAGAAGAGACACAAGAGAAAATAAATGCAGCAGGTGACTGTTTGAAATTCTGACAAATTTTAAACGTCTGTAAAATATTGGTCTTTTATCTATACATGTAATAATGTAATTATAAATAATTATTCAGTACCCAGCATTCTAGGTGACAAAGTCTAATAGTATTTTATGTTTTCCAAAAGTTTTAAGTTGACCATTTATTCAATCGATCAACCAACCAAGCAACCGATCGACCAATAGACCAACCGATAGATTGATCAAATAATGATCAATCAATCTATCGATCAAAAAATTGATCAACTGATCAATCAACCATTCAATCAATATTTTTGTACAATAACTGTCCTAGTATCCTAGTGTACAGAAATCTTTATCTACAGTCAAATTATTTTATTTTACAGGAACTTTTTATGTTCCGTCAAATTCTGAACTGTCCGTTATCCATATCTGAACAACAAAAACAACAACAACATAATAATAATAATACAACTAAAGGGCTGTGTAAAATAGATAAGAGTTAAGGTCTGTGTCTGGTCTGCTTAATATTTTCCTTTGGTGTTTTAGCATGGCTATTTCATCTTGATTGAATGGTGTCATCTGCCAGCTAATATGTAAAACAAATAACAGTAAATTCACAGTACAGATTTTTAAATGCTGGATTGAGAATTTTTGCAGTTTACTGTGCCTAATGATGGACATCAGGAAGCTGAAATTGTGTCTCATAATGCCCAAATACACTCAAAGAGGATAATGTGAATTTTAAGACATCAATAATAATTGTCACAGCAGATCAAAATATTATTTGTTTTTAGATCTTCCCTATAAGTGGTTTCCAATGTATAGTTTCTGTACATGTGAGCAATACATTGTTGCTGTAGATCATCTGCCATAGACGGAGAAGGAGAAAGCAGTATTTGTACGACGTCTGTGTCAGTTTGCACTGTATGACTGTGGCGCTCGAGTACAGTAATACTCAGCCGTGTCTTCTGCCTTCAGACTACTGGTTTAACTCTCACTGAGTAAGTCTTCAGACATGGTGAACTTTCCTTGAAAAGATGAGGCATATTTATAGCCAGTGTCCCCAATCCACTCCAGCTCTGTCCCAGGAGCCTGGTGAATCCAGTGCATCCAGTAACTGCTCATGGAGAATCAAGACTGTCACATCTCACTACTGCTGTAGGGGAGCAATAATAATAATAATAATAATAATAATAATAATAATAATAATAATAATACTTTTGCATGAATTAAACTGAACTTTTGACAAAAAAATAGTTTTACAAATTATTATTAAACCACCCAGAAATCTTAAACTTTTATCTTTGCACACATCAATGTTCCACATTGCTGTGGAATGTGATGAAAAAAGTCTAATTTGAACCTCTAATAATAACATACAGTCCAAGATTAAGATAGAAACTATTAAAGAAAATTAATGTTTTAATTGTCAATAAAAATATTTGTCAAAATTAAAAAAAATGTGATCCTTAAGATCAACCATTAAAAACAATATGTGATTTAGAGATCCAGTATACTAAAATTATATCAGGATATAACAAAGCATTAAAAATAAATATGTGAATTTCCTTTTACCGTCATGGCTAACAGGGAAAAGCAGGTGTTGCAGTGTCCTCTGCTGGTAAAAGGTGGTAGTGCACTGATCAAAAAACTGACCGCTTGTTTAAAGGAACACGTACTGTAATAGGTTTATTCCAGGCTGAAAAGAGGAGAAAGAAAACCCAACGTTTCGGCCGTGGGGCCTTCTTCAGGCGTGAGAAAGACAGCGCAGTAAGCAAAGGTAATGTAGCGGGAGAACAAAAGCTGGGAGAGAGGAGGAGCGAGAGGTAGGAGCAGGGGACAGAAAGAGAGGCCAATCAGGTAGTGTGAAGTCAGGTTAGGTAGAGAGAGGTGTGAAATGAAACCTACAATGAATAGAGAGAATTTAGAAGAAAATTAGTCTGTCGTTGAGAGAAGGGAGAAGATCTGATTCTAGCTGCAGTATAATTTAAGTTTCTGTAGTCTTTCTGATGTAGGGGTTAGGAAAACTGTCTTTGAGAACACAGACAGAGAGATTATGATGATCATGGCCGTAAGAGGTGAAATGAGAAACAATAGGCTTGGAGAAAGCTTTAATCTTCACAGCCCTACCATGTTCTCTGAATTGGTCTCCGAGTCTCCTTCCTGTTTCTCCAAAGTTGATGGCTGGGCATTTCCTGCAAGAGATACAGTAAATATGGTTTCTAGAGGTACAAGATGTCATCTGAGTGATCCGTAATTGTACTGAGGGGCCTTGAATGAGTGTGATGGTGGATGTGTACTTGCAGGTGATACAGCAAGCTCTGTTGCAAGGGGAAGTACCTAATGTGGATGGTTGCCGAGGGCGGTCAAGGGAGCTGTGAACAAGGAGGTTACACAGATCAGGTGATGGGCGATATGAGATGATGGGGCGGTCAGAAAAGAGGGCCCCAATGGAGGGATCATCCTGTAGGATGGAAACGTTGTTGTTAATAGTCCTGGGGATAGAAAGTGTGCTGGGGTGGTAGGGAAGCACCAAAGGAATGTGGTTGCTACAGTGGGAGTTCCTGCTCGAGTCGATGGTCCGAGGGGTGTTTTTGGCTCGGGCTTGTAAGTGCTTCTGTCTCCTCTGTTTCCTTAAGACAAACATGCTCATTGTCCAGCTGGAGATTCGAGTATAAGCCTTCATTTCTCCCACTATTTTTGTTCCCTGTAGTTTGAAGAATTCTGATAAAGAACCTAGCAGCCTGTACAATACTGTAAAACTGTTCACTGTTGTATGATCAGGCTCTATAGGAAGATGAATTATCATACAGTGAACCCATTTTCTCTGAAGCAGTGTCATGAAATGACAGGTGACATGCTCTGGAAAATGCCATTGTGTGTGCCCATCGTGAAGCGATGAAATCCTTCCGCACATAGAAGCAATGTCCAATTCCAGGGAGTGTTTCTGAGCGCTCTTTTCTTAAACGAAGTCGAACACAGTCGAAAGCCGACGCAAGTGTAACTGTGCAGCTCTGAGGCCAGCCGTCTCTGGTCTTAAGGTAGCAGATGGGCGACCAGAGGACCTGTGTGGTTTTGTCCTGGACTCGGTGACACAGGTTGAAGCCGCCAGAAGGATGCCATGGTTAGGATTCGGCACTCTCACTGTCGTGGTCTGGGTTCGATTCCCGGTCAGGGAATAGTGTCTCCCCTTGAGCTTTTCTGCTATACGACCAAGTAGTGTCTTATTTTCTTATGCGGCAAGTAAAACACAAAACAAATCCTTCCACCACAAATGTCGAAGCTGGCATGTCCAGGACCGAAGAGGTCGGTAATTTCCTTTCTGGATTCAGCTATTTGGGATGCTGCTGTCTTTTTCCGACGTTATCTGATCTTCAGACAAGTATGTGCATAGTTCCTGCATGAACCAGAAAATAAATGCGTGTATACAGAGAGTGAGAAACATACGCGCACAGCGTTTTGTTTAAAAAAATATTTTCACCTTTCGCGCAAAATTTTGAACAGTACAGTACAGTCGTCAGCAAGGAAAGTCAGGCAGCCGTAATGGGATCCGTTTCGACCACAGTTCCTTAAAAGTTGATGTCTTGCAATGCCAAAACGTTGAATAATCTCATGCAAGGAGCGATCCAATTGAGACAGACAGATGTCCGGGGAAGGAAGATATACATGCTGGAAAACAGTCTTAATTTCTTTCAAAAGATATTTTGTTCTTGGAACGGTTGTTTAAAAAATAGAACGAAAAAGACAGACAACAAGTTTTCAAAGTTGTGGACTTTATTATTGAGACACGGACGGTTTTTGTGTCTGGATGCTTTACAAACACTACTTTCAGAGCTTTGAGGTGCTTCCAGCATCATTCACCCTTATAAACGGGATATGGAGGTGATGATCACCTTGTAAAGCAATTGATAGGCGAAACTGCTCTTGTTTCCTAAAGGAAGACCTAAACATATTTTTAAAGACCGGTTTTCAGATATTAAAACAGGTTTGTTTATTCCCGGCTTTATACCAGAGACTCCAGAATGTTACAAAGTGCTTCGACCCGTACAATGCGGTTTTACAAGCTATGGTATTGTGGGGGCGCCCACCACACGCAGTGCAATGGAGAAGAACTCGAAATCTGTGTCTGGGCTGTGAAAGAGATTCGGAAGCACACTGATCATATCGCTTTCACGGTAGGACGCAGTGTGTATGTGTGTTTGCTGTTCCTTTCACTGAGTCCTGTGGAAGAATTGGCGATTGGTGATGAAAGAATCGCTAGCTTCGGAAAGCAGAAGCTTTGTTTCACTTGGAGTAGATTTGCATGTCTCCGATCTTCCCAGGCCGTTGAAACTTTTCATCTCAGGTGTACTTGTAGCTGGCAGAGAGTTGTGTTGAGGGGCGGAGGGGCTGCTGACAGCAGAGTGGCACAGCGGAAGCGTGCTGGGCCCATAACCCAGAGGTCAATGGATCAAAACCATCCTTTGCTATCCGCATTTTACTCACGACTATTGAGCACGCCGTCCTCTCTATCAGGTGGAAAAACAGCCAATTAAGGAGTTCATATATTCATTGGAGGTCCCGCGTAACTTTCTTGCTTCCGTTTGTGAGCAAGCATCACACTTAGCTGCTCTTTATTCTTAAACAATATTTGTGTTTCCTACTGTGGTGTGATCTTCAGACACACATGTACATAGTTCCTGCATGAAGAACCCGGGACGCTTCTTCAGTGAACAGTAACATTCTGATAGAGTTCGCGAAATTGTAGTACCAAGCCTGAAATCCATTAAATGAAAATGCAATAATTAACGTCTATATTTGCCAGTACACAGTGTGTCGGAATTACTAATAATAACAATAATTTAGAAATGTAGTGACAATATTGAATTTTAAGAGTTTCAAAGGAGGGATCAGCTGCCTTTGCAAAAGAAGGAACCCAATTCCTAAATCTCATAAGGAATAATGAGCGTCTGCATG